GCAGAGACCCTTGTCAAAAAACATGCACCATCAGTGGCACTTAATGTTGAGAAAGGTTCTACTTCTAAACCGCAAGGTGGACAGAAGAAGAAAAAGTCTCACAAAGCTAAGACAACTGCACCTCTAACTGGGGGAGTGAAAAAGTCTAAGGGTAAGTGTTTTCATTGCAAGATGTCAGGTCATTGGAAGGCACATTGTCCAGTTTTCTTAGCGAAGAAGAAAAATAAACCAGGTAACTCACTTTCACTTGTCGTTGAAATATTTTTAGCGGCTGTTTCTACCACTTCATGGTGTGTAGATTCAGGAGCCACTGATCATATCTGCACTACTATGCAGGGGTTTCAAGAAACGCGCAATCTGATTAGAGGTGAAGTTAGCGTTTTTTAAGCAGATGGCTCTACAGCTCCAGTTTTAGCATTAGGAAATATTACTTTTTCGTTTGATAGTGGTAGAGTTTTAATTTTAAAAGACGTTCTATATGCACCTGCTGTTAGAAGAAATTTGATTTCAGTTTCTAAAGTTTTGAGAGATGGTTATGATGTTAGTTTTTCTGATAACGCTTGTGTTTTAGTTATAATAAACATCTTGTCTCTGCTGGTACATTGATTGATGGTCTTTTTATTATTAATGTCTCTCCAGAACTGCAACAAATTGTAGAATTGAATAATGTTAACCTTTCAAGCAAAAGAAAACGTTCTTCTGATTTTAATGGGACTTATCTATGGCACTTGCGTCTATGTCATATAAATCTAGATAGGATTTCAAGGTTGGTTCGAGATGGACCTTTAGGTTCATTAAAAGTGGAGGCACTACCAACATGTGAATCTTGTTTAGAAGGAAAAATGACTAAGAGACCTTTTCCCTCAAAAGGAAATAGAGTCAATGATAAACTAGAGTTAATTCATTCTGATTTGTGTGGCCCAATGAACATTCAAGCAAGAGGTGGGTATGAGTACATCGTGACCTTCATTGATGACTACTCAAAATATGGATATATATATTTGTTGCACCGTAAGTCTGAATGCTTTGAGAAATTCAAAGAGTTTAAGGCTGAAACAGAGAAACGACATGGAATTTATATCAAGTCATTGCAATCTGATCGTGGTGGCGAATACCTCTCTAATGATTTTATTAGTTACTTATCAGAACAAGGAATTACATCCCAAATGTCTACACCTACAACGCCACAACAAAATGGTGTAGCGGAAAATAGAAATAGAACTCTTTTAGAAATGGTAAGATCAATGATGAGTTACTCTGATTTGCCGCATTCATTTTGGGGATATGCCATAGAAACTGCAAATTACATTCTGAACTTAGTTCCTTCTAAATCTGTTCCTTTGACACCCATTGAACTGTGAACTGGGCACAAACCTAGTTTGAGACATATTCGGGTTTGAGGATGTCCAACACATGTACTAAAAGGGAAGGCAGAAAAATTGGAACCTAAAACAGAAGTATGTGTTTTTATTGTATACCCTAAAGGAACGAAAGGTGGTATGTTTTATAATCCTAAAGAAAAGAAGGTCATTGTGTCTACCAATACCAAGTTTCTGAAAATGGATTTTTTAGCAAACCATATTCCTAGAAGTAAAACTAGTTTTACAGGAATTGAGCAAAGAGAAAACAAATCAATCTACTGAAAAAAATGAAAACCAAATTCAAACCCCACATGTTAGAGTTAACATACCATTGCATTATAATAGTGGGAGTTCAATTACGAATTTTTAGTGGAATAATTTGTAATTTATTATGGTAAGAATAATTCAAATTAATTATTTAGAATTATTTCCATAATAGGAAGCCTCAGTAATAAATTTTGTGGTCCCTCCAGTGCCCAATTTAACTAGAACTCAGAATCCTATTTTCTAGTAGAAGATGCAAAAGTAGCGTGTGTTTTTCTTTTGAAGGAAGAAACGTGTGTTTCAAATTCTTGATGAAAAAGGATTTGCTCTTCTTCTCCTCTTTGGACTAGGAAGACATCTCTATAAATAGGGATCTTCTAACCTATATTGGAGAGGGTATTCTATACAATACTTGCCCACCCAAGTATTGAGATGTTCAATTGTTGATTGGGATCACTGTAAAAGACTATATAGCTGGAGTTGGATTTACTTCAAGATATCTGCACACGTTTCAAGAGGTAATCCTGAGTTAATTTTCAGCATACTTTGTATGTGATGACTATTTGTGGTTGTTGTTTATATTCATGCAAGATGTATGATTCTGGAATGCTTCCGCTGTGTATGCTATTTTCCAACACAAATGACCCTGTTATCTTGCCCGTAGCATTCACACTACTGAAAACTAACTCCATAAGTGATGCACTGCTATTCCACTTGGATGTGGGAAACCTAATAGTGAGCTAGGGATTGGATGATAAATTAAGAGTTTCCAAGGTGGAAAGGTGGAAAACTCCTTCGGGCAATATCCCATATATTTGCATGTATGAAAGTCCTGTTTATGTTAAATAAGAAGATGTTGATTGAAAAACCAACATTCTCTCAACATCTTGTGCTCTCTCACACATTACGTCGAAGATGTTGACTGAACTATAACTCTTTCTCATACATTATTTATTTCCACCCCAATGTATGTGTACCCTTAAATGACTTGTTTAAACTTATTTAATTGAATAAATTTTAATAATATAGTTTATTATTAGTTAATCATTCTTCCTTTTAAATTATAGTAGCTATGGTCAATATTTAAGCGTCATGTTCTAGTAGGTGCAATATAGATCATTTGAAGTGTAGATGTCGTTGTTATAATATACACCAAACACATGAACAAGTATCGACCGTTTTAATTATCTATATATTTTGATCAACGGTTACTATGCTCAATAATCCAAATTTTACAATGGTAAACGAATACAAAATGCTACTTTTTCAATGGTAACATAAACTTTTTTAGTGTATAAAAAAGAAGGATTCATGAAATCCTCCATCTTATTCCATTTTAAAAACTTAAACAACTTTTTTAATAATGTCTCAAGCATCTCAAACATCTAAAGCAAAAAAAATCTTACGTTCGTCGTTTTGATAATTTAGCTATTTTGAGGACTTCACATACCGATACGAATCCAGGTTGATAATTCTTTAATTGTGTAATTGGTGCATGCTTTTTTTTTAAGTGGCTTGAAAATGATCCATCAACGAGTAACTCATCCACTACAAAAGGAACCTCAATTACCCAACAAAAAAATTCGTTGTAAGTTGATCAAATCGATTGGCAAATTAGTTACCAACCAAATGCCAACTTATATTAATCTGTTGCTAAAAAGCTCATCGGTAAATATTATCAACTGATTTTAATTTTTGGTAAACTTACCAACTAAAAATGAGTTGGTAAACACCCAAAGATGTTGTTATAAAATTTTAAACAGTATGAGCCTGAAATTTCCGTTGGTAAATTTATCAACTAATTTTTGAATAGTGTATCATTACTATCTTTACAACGAATTGAAAAGGAGTTGGTAAATATTTTTCTTCATTTTTCGTTTCATACATTAGTAATTTGTTGATAATTTTAGTAACAAAAAATTTTTGTTGGTAATTTGCCAATAAATTTTACATACTTTTTTTTTATTTATTTTTTATTTTCCATCGGGTGTTCGATACCCAAATTGGAGTCCGACTAAATCTGAATTCACGTAGGAAAATCCCACATTGGGTGATAAAGCACTCCCTAACAAAGATGATTATGTACACAACATGAATCGAATTTGAAATCTTTTGGGTAAAGATGCAGGAGTACTTACTACTAACCATAACCCTTGTTTGTAATAAATTTCAAAATATTTTAGTATGATTATTTATTTTCTAATAAATTTACTAATTGATTGTTCATATGTAATATATGATTCAAGTTCAATGTTAGCTTAGTTATTGATTGACGATATGTTCAAAAATATTATTAACTGAATGGTTATTCAATAGTAAAATATTTTTTAATGTATTGCATTTAAAAATCTAAAAACACGAATATAAATTCATAAATATTAATCAATTTATAGATCATATTTAATAATGCAAAATCTATGATAACAAGTTAAATTAATCTCAATATGACACATATCATTATATCAAAAAAATTAATTTTTTGCACGTTTACCTAAAACATTGATCAAGTCTAAATTTTGACAAAAAGTTAAAACGCCTAACAACACAAACAGAAAATGAAAGTCTAAAAACCTGAAATAACCATCTTGTACCCTTAATCGAATGGATGAACCAAACTAAAGAGCACTTCAACTTCTACTCTGGGTTCAATCTTGTACCCTTAATCGAACTCATCAACTTTGTACCATTGATATTCTTATTCTTTGTCACTTTATAGTAGAATTTTCCACCTTCCTCAAGTACTTTTTTTTAAATTTTTGATTCACGGGGTTATGCTGAGAAATTCAGCCCATAATCAATGCAAACTCTTTTAAGCCAAAACAAACAAGCTTATCATTCACACAAAATCACATCTCAAGCAATTTTTTTATCATGTTTTACAAGACACAATAATATATAATGGACCAATTATCCATTTAACTTGTACTACTCTGGAATGTCTTAAATATCCAAAACAAGTAGTTTTAAAGTCTTTATAGATTTTTTGTTGAACTAACACAGTTCTAAAATCACGATAAAGAGTCATTCTTGCTTCACATAATTTTTGATGGAAAAGATCCTAACTCATCCCTCCATATAGTTAGATTATAGGGCTTACAACAGATGTCTCTTACACAGATTGGCAAAGACGGGGGATCTTCCTCATATCCAGTATCATCTGCTACTCTCCCCATCAACTTCGTCAGTAGCCTGGGCACTACTGTCCTCATAGTTATCGATCTCAGCCATTATATCCGAATCCGAGTTAGACTTAGGCTTTTCAACTACAACTTTTTTTTGAAGATCCTCTTGAAACTTCTTCAGTCTTTATTTTCTTGTTTTTAGAAGGTTTAGAAATAGATTTTTACACAATTCTGCCTCTAGTTTTAGGAGTCCTACTATATTATATACAAAAACTTATTTTAAATATTAAAAATTGATTACTAGTCTATTAATACAAACATAGTAATACTAAAAATAATATGAAAAAAAGTATCAGTTCCAACAAACTCGACAATGTCATTGACCTAAACTCCAATATTGTCGACCAATATACAAGGAATTCTCAATATACAGTAAAACATTTAGCCCGTTGGGCCAGATAAACGTAAAAAATCAAAATTTTCTATGCATTGTCCAAAACAAAACGTCCCTCAAGATTCGAAATAGAAAAAGTATGAATTAAAACTCGACTATAATGTTTAAGCAAACATCTAAACTTCACGACAGTATCACAATATAAAAATTAAATAGGCTAAAAAGAAAATATACAATATGATTAAACTTATATCAAGATCAGAAGATTGAAAAAGATTTGACATGTAGATTGAAAAAGCTTCGACTAAACTTGAGAAGAAAATTAATGAAAAATAGACAAACTCGACTTCTTTTTTCAGGAACAACTATAAGATCTCTTTTATCTTTATGTTTCAGTAATCCAAGGGG